TTATGCTCCACATGGGCTTGACAGACAGAAAATTGTGCCTGACTCACAAAGAAAATAGTGTCCTGAATATTTTATTATTCTTAGCTCTGGAGTTGTGTTTTGTACAAATCAATTTCAAAATTGGCTGTATTCCCAGTTATGCAAGACACCAAGACCTGCTGGTCATCTGTGGCTATCTGAAGTCCAATCACCTCAGTGATCTCTGCAGGAAGGTAGAGATTTCTTCACACAGAGTTCCTTGTGAGACTGGTCCTTCTGAGTGTGGTTAGACCTTCAGCCTGTCATATAATCAACTCTTACCGACTATCGTGTTCCTGTGCAGAATCAGTAGGGCTCCAATAAGACATAAATGTTGGCTGTAAAATATTGAACTGAAAGACAAGGACTTTTTTTTTTTTTTTTGTCTGTTGAAACTAATGATCTTAAAATGTACTGTGGAGGCCTTATATCCCTCATATCCCTGTTTTTTCCCATGCTGGAGGACAATTAGGGGCATCCTTATGCTTGGACATACGGAGTCCTATCCTTTTAAAAATGGTCAGCTCCTCTTTCATTTACTTGTACGTAGGTTTCAGAAAACACAGTCCAAGGTGTGTGAAGCCCACAGCTCTCCTGAGAGTTCCCTAAACAACAGATCAAAGGTGATTAATGATTGATAGTAGAACTTCCCTTCTCTGTTTTGATGGTGATTTGTTTTATGTAAAAGATGTGAGGATTCTTCAGTTCAGAGAAAGGTAAAACATCTCTAGCCTGGTAATTACAGCACTTACTTAGAAGTGGGTAGACTTAGTTTCAATGCACTGCACCAAACATTAGTTAGGTTTTTTTATGACATGACCAGAGGTACCTCTTTCCAACATGTCTGTTTTGATCATCAAACCGTTAGTATGAAGGTGATGTGGCAGTCCTTTCCAAATGGGCCTGCTGAATCTGATGAGATGGAGAAAATTACCTCATTTGTGAGCCTGATGGAATGGGGCAGAATCTCTCTTAAATGGGGAATCATATACTGATAGAATGCTACAATTTTAAAATCTAATTAGATCATTGCAGGACATAGGCTGCACTAGACCACTAGACACTGTGTTCTTAAACACACAAAGTTTTATGCTGCTCCTCATGGAGGGTATCCAAACCCTTTGCTATCTAACTTATAATGGTTTTTTGGGTTCTTTTTTTTTTTTTTTTTTTTTTTTCCAGTCTAGGCCTTCCCTACAATACAAGGAGGAAGATGAAGAGACATTCTTAGAAACCAGCATCTTAGCTGAGCCACCTAACTTGGGCAAGTGAGTTAGCACTGGGGAAGTTTATAAGAAAAAGCAAGTACAACTGACTGAAGGTTGATATGCTATTCCACACTGTGCTAGATGTAGAAACCTATCCTCTTTAGAGGAATTTCTCCATTCCATATGTTTCATGAAGATGTTGGCCCAAGTCCTGGTCAATGTTATATCTCCAGTTTATGGAGATTTTGATCTGTTATAACTCCTTGGGTACCTCTGAATAGCTTTGCATTGTGCAGTGTGGACATTCCCTTAAGGCATGCAGAGTTAGCTGGTGTATAAATATAAACTTTGAAAATTCTTCATAAGTGGCGGATCTAGGTGCTTAAATGATGGGCATAAGAGCTGAAGGAGGCACCTTTCAGCATTAGATTAAAAGACTTGGTTGACAAGTGAAATGTTCAAAATGCTAATAGTTAAATTGTACACAAAAATATCACAGTAGGCAATCTTAGTGAGCATATCAAGAAACAAACATCCCTACATCTGAGATAAACCTTAATATATTTCCAACTCCTCCTTGTCACTTTATATGCCTGAATCCTAAGGACAAGAGCCTTTTTCCACTTTTGGCTGTGCATACTTAGGCCCTCCCTTTCAAAAGAACGACCCAAAGAAGCACTTTTTTCATTAAAGAATAGATGGAGAGGGGTACGAGACCAGTCCTAGCAGTTAGGTGTATGGGTTTCAGTGTCAGCTCCCAGAATTGCTATATAATGGACAAAGTAACCACTTGTAAATAGGAATAAGGTTTTTATTACCATCCGTTAAATAGATCACTTCACTAAATGGCCTCGTTGTGTGGCAAAATTTGGTCCCAAAGGATTAATGTATTTTGACTGTCCTGGAAGAAGACAAAAGCTTTTCCAAGGTGAGTGCTACAGAACTACAGCACTGAGCCCTGACTGTGTTATTTCAAGGCAAGTTATGGTACAATAACTGTTCTCCAGGAATTGCCTATATGGAAACCTTTTGCCTATAGTCATATAAGGTGAATGGCAAGAGTCTTCCACAATGTAAGTGTGAAGTTAGTAACGCTGATGAGGCAACATGAATGCCTTCCAAACTGAGATACCTGGAAAATGTGCTGCACCTCACTTTTTAACTACTGCTGTAGCTCCATCTGGATGTTATGATTAAATAGATCCCAGCAGTCATCTCTGCTTTTCTTGATTTTCTTTAAATTCTTTTATTTTTTTCTGTTTTCTTTTTTGTAACAAATGGTAGATCCAAATAGATCAACCACATTTCATGGTTGGCCATATCTGCATCAGAAGATTTATCTGAAATCTCATGTCTCAAAAGTTCTTTTGCTTCTTACAGTATATCTGAGAATTACCAGTATCACTGCAAGAAGACAGGCATGTTAAGGTCTATTTCCCCAGATCAGAAAACAACACGTCTTGGCTTGAAGTCAAAGGAAAATGCAACCTTTTTTCTTCGTTTTCATCAGCTTCAATCTCACATGAAGCTACCCCTGCCTGCAGATATTATTGTAGTTCTAGTATTTTATAATCTGATATTATGTCTAAGGGTTTTGATTTAAACTTGGCTCTATTTTGATGGTCAAAATTAAATAGTGAATTCTATGTTTTGGTCCTCATTTAGATCTCAGGATTTTGCAGATCTAGCTGTGCTCCTTCCATTTCTTCCTCTATGCACTAAAATCAGAGGCAGCCTGAGGCAGATTATGCCAAATCTCATGTTCAAAAGGTTCATTGGCTTTTTTGGTAGGAGTAAGTTTGTCTTCTCAACCACTTCAACCCCTGTCTACTGTAAAACTGTCAGAAAACAAACCTTCCTACATTACTCCTCACTCAACCTTCTTCAGTTGCTTGTTTTGCTCTCCTCTTTTTTTTTTTTTTTTTTTTTTTTTTTTTTTTTGTGTCTTCTCTATTGCTATAATATTAATTTTCACCTGTGCCTCATCAAAGAAAAGACCAAAGAATGTGATTTGCTTCCTTGGTGAGGCTTCTGGGTTACCTGTGATGCAAAGATTAAAGCACTCCTTTCCCCATAATGCTGTACAACATTGTCAAGGAAATAAAATAGGCATATGAATTCGTGGTTTGCATTGCTTTGAATTGTCACTCATATTTGGATCCAGAGAAGACAACCTGGAGCTTTGAAAAGATTTAAACAAAAAAGTGAAACTGCTAATTGTTGCTTATTATCAAACTGCATTTGGCAACAGGAGAAGTCCTGTGTTCAACATATTTGCATATTTATATACTGTTTCTAAACAAACACTTTTGTGAAATCACCTAGATATTTGAGTCATGCCAGAAAAGTAACTGTGTGTTTAACTACCCTAATGTAGGGTTTTGCAAATACAAAGGCTATATATATATTTGGGCTTCTAAAGGACTAGCTCAAGTTAAAAAATCTGCAGCAACCAGAAATCAACAGGCAACAGCACAGCAAGATGCTAGTTTAGGAGTACTGTTGGCCATGTTCAGATCTTATTTATCCATATGTAAATCCAGAGTAGGTCGAGTGATTTGAATTGAATTCTTGCCATAAACAAACATAGAATTTTACCCTTTAGTATTTGATTTTACACAGTGAGATTCATTACAACAGAAATAAACAGAATAAGAAATTTCTGTTTTAGATTTTAAATATAAAAATTGTTACTTATGTAAACACTTCGAAGCCATTGCTTCAGATTCAGGAAGAATTTTATCATTGTGTAAAACAGAGACAAACTCAACCAAAATCCTCCAAACTTTGTAAAGCACTGTTAAATGTGAAATGTATTCTGCATTCAATCCTATTTCACATTGCTATTTTTCAAGTGCTGCTTGCAATGGACAAAGTTAAGATCTTTTTCTCCATGAAGATACTGAATTTTATAGCTTGGGTTTCTCTCTAAGTTTCATGAGGTACCTTTTCTCTCTTGAATGAAGTGACAGCTTCAAATAAAGAATACCTCTTTAGTAATACTACCTTCAGGGAGGGGTTGTTTTGTTTAGGCACATGTACCATGATAAAAGTATGCAACCTACTCCAGGAGTTCTAAAGTATTTCCCAGAGTAAAGATGGCCTGAAAAGCTATTCAGATTTCACACTTTTTAACATTTATCTGTAAAATCACTTCTCTTGAAATTATTGATTTGATTTATTAATAAAATACTTATAAAAACAGATGTATATAGAAAGTTTGGAATTTTAAGAAAACTGTATTTTTAAGGAAACAAATTCTACAGAGCAATAAAAAAACCTCCCAACTATACTGAAGATTTACACATAAATGCATAAACCTTCCATGGGTTTTTTTCCACTTTTTTTTTCTGTTGTTGTTGTTGCAAAGTACTTCTGAATCAAAATAAGATGGTGCAATTGCTTTCTGGAAAGCTAATTAAAAGTCTTGACTCATTCCCATTTCTTGCTTGGTGTCACATTGACACTTGGCTGCAAAATTTCTCTAGATACAGGATCTAATTTGTTGGCTTAGCCTTAAAAGAAGCTGTTTTCTCTTAATTTTGAATGTCAGAGTCTGTAAGGCACATGTGAAACAGTTCACATGATGAAAGAGCTAAAACTGAAAATTAAAGTTTCTTCATGCCCTCAAAGGCAGGAAGTCAGCTGCAAGGAACTGCATTGAAAACTATTAGAAATATGTCTAAAGTTTTACAGTCACACCCACTGCAGTTTTAGTACTAAATCTTATGCATCCATGTAATAAAAAGAAAATGAATAGAGCTCTGTACTTACCATAGTTTCTGGGTCTCTGCCTCCACAAGTCTGCTAAAGAGTATGTACTGTAGTAGATAGAGTCAAAAATGTTCTTTGTCCTTCACTGTGCACTTCCTTTTTTGAAAGTGCATGTGGTCTATCCAGCCTTCACAGGAAAAGATACCAGCAAAATCCTTGTTTTGCATATTATCAGTGACCTAACAGAATTTTTAACATCATTTGTTTGAGATACACTGTACCACTGTGAAGGACAAATGACAGTGAATAAGTGTTCATTATTTTTACAACCTCCAAGATTATAATGAAAAACAGGTCTATGTTGATGAAAAAATCATATAGTTATGCTTTTACTAATCTCTAACTGAATTAAAAAGGCAAATATATTTTGGTTTTGTCTTTCATACCTGGGGTTCCCAAGTTCTTGTGTATTCAGGCTTCACTACCAACCTTGTGCATGTCTCCTTCTGGCTCAGATTTTCATGGATGCTTAAACTCTGAAGTAATTTTCTTCCTCTAATAAGCTGAACTATATTTCTGTCAATTAACCTTTGACTATTCAGCTTTTCATACCTGATATTATCAGGAAAATTGAGTTGTCATGGTCTGACAAGATATTAAAGTTCGGCACTGCCGCAGAATTCCTATGCACCAAAATTGAAGGAAGAAAGGGCATGTGGCCATAAACCTCACTGAGATGGGACTAGTAAAAAATTTAAAATAGAGGGCTTAATGAGAAGAGATGAAGGAAGGAAGAAGAGACAAACATGCTAAATGCAGGGGAGGGGAGGCCCTGATATATTTTGGGTGATGTCCAACTACTAAATAAAAAAATCAGCTGAGTTTTCAGTAATCAAGCTTCTCTGTATGAAGTAGTGCAGGACAAATAAAAATACTAAAGTAACAGAAAATACCATGTCTATGTCACAAGAAAAATTTAAACTGCTTTCTGTGATGAAATCAGGATTTCCTCATAATCTCAATTTTAGAGCACTGAAATGATTGCTGCATTGCTGTAAATCCCAGCCTTGTGGTTTTCAATTAAATTTTCAGTGCAATATGTCAATATTATCTTTTATATAGTTAATAGAAAATACCAATACAGATCCCTATAGTGGCAATTAGCAAATATATTACCTATTTTCTAAAAAGCAGAAAACTACTAGGACAGTTACAGCTATATTTGGTTGAGCACAACACCATGCAACTCCAAGAACAGACTTGAAAAAAACAATTTGAAAGAGAAAATAGTAGTTATATATAGCTATATTTAAGTTTCATTAAAGATGGATTATGTTTGAATGATATAATATCTGCTTTACAATTTGTAACTGGCATTTTAGACAAAGATAATACAATTAACTCATCTATCTAGATTTAAGCAGAGTATTTCATATAATGTCCTTTGCTGAATTTTAAGTGATGAGATTTGGGAGAGGATGTGATCTGTCAGAAAGACTGCAGGCTAGATAAGGAGCTGGCTAAAGCAACATTGGTTTAGAAGTGGAAGGGGAATTCCTGAATTTATCTGGGATTATTAGCAGTGTTCTGCAGGCATAGGTCATGGGATTGACTGAACCTGCTCATTTTGCAGGTCCAGGAGTCTGGTCCAAGAGCTGGGCCTAAACCAATGTTATCTGAAGATGTACTAAACTGAATGGTTCTACTAATACTGGGGAGAATCAGGTCATTGCACAGGAAGAATGAGAGGGCTTTGTGTATTGGAGTGATAGAAGTCAGCCAAAGTTTAGTGATAAAGTCATATACCTAGGGCTAAGAACAAGGAGTTTTGCTTTGAGCCAAGGAAACAGTAAATATGAGTCACTAACATGACGTGCACTTGTGAAAAGTGCATGTGATTTGAGTGCACAGTAGGCAAATGTTTTTTAGGAGATACAGGAAAAGAATTTGTGCAGAACACTGATGAGAGCTCATTTAGAATATTGTGTGCAGGTCTAGTCAGCTATGTTGAGTGACCATGAATTTAAACTGACACAGGTACAGGTGAAATCTTCTAGTATGAGTAGAAGGACTTTTTGGCTTCTCAAAGGACACTAAAAGAGCTTACCTTGTCTAACTTAAGAAAGTGGAGATGAAAAAGGCTATGACAAGGTCTGTAACTATCAAGGAAGAATGATTATTTATACAAAAAGAAATAAAGGATTGAAATCAAATGCATATAAATAGGTTGTGAGTACATCTAAAGTGAGAATTAGACAAAATTTTATATTAATTTATATTAATTCACATTCAATAATGATCTTCTAAAGATGATAGAGGAGGAATAAGATCAGTAAAGCTTCCATATGCTACATGAGCAATTTATGAAAGAGACTTAATGACAGGATAGGGAGGATTCTGATGTTAGGAAAAAAAATCTGTTTGTCAGATAGAGCACATTAGCTGTACTGGAAAGATGCTTCATCAGCATGTCTGGTCACACTGAGGGTTAAATCTCAGACTATGGTAGTATGGTAGGTTTCCCTTGGCCTATCTTTTTTTTGTTGTTGTTGTTGTGTTTTGTTTTGTTTTTTAAATCTGGAACATTATATATAATACTCTGCTTAAATCTAGAGAGATAAAGTTAGTGGTATTACATAGATCTAGTTAATTGTACTACCTTTGCCTAAAATGCCAGTTAAACTTTCTAAAGCAGATATTAAGTTATTCAGATGTAATCCATCTTTAATGAAACATCTGCATGTGCAGCTCTTGAGGAATTGCTCTGTCTGATAGGGATTTCCTTATATCTGATAGCTTTTCTCTTGATTAAGATTCCTGTTATTCCCACAGTAAGGCAGTAACATCAGAGCTTCTACCAAGAGCAGCTTTGTTCCAGCTACACAGTACAAAGTATACAAGTGTTAGGTTTGAGGCTTTCGGAAATGTCCCAGGAAGACTTCAGGGATGCTAGGTGCATGTGTGCTCCATCCATTGAGAAAATCTTGTGTTTGCACTTAGGAACATTAGTTAGTGGAGGCCTATTTCCACTTCTGTGGTGTGAAGGGTGGCAGGAACCAGTGAAAGGCCTTTTATGGTCTGCCTCTGTGGCACAGGGTGTGATTCAATTTCTTTGGTCATCAGTACACTTTCACTTTTTGAATGCTCTTCTACCATAGGGACCTGGGAAACAGCTCTGTCTCCTGCTTTCTTTTATGATGTTTGGTCTTTGGTATTCAAAGTCTTCAGGGTCACTTGTGGTGGGCAAAAGGCAGGTAAAGAAGTTTCCAGGGGACTCTTCCAGACCTGGACTGCAAGTAAGCAAGGAACTGATCTCATTGATCTGATGGCTTTTACCATTTCTATGTTTCCAAACCACTCAACCCTCATATACCTTTGCTGTTAATTTTTTTAAAAGAAAACTCTTTTCTTGTATCTTGCTTCCATGTAGATATTGTGGTGTCTAGCCGAATAGCTGAGTTGACATTAATACCTTTTGCTCAACAGGGACACTAATTTCTTTTCATTTTCTAAATTTATCTGCCTTTTTTTTCATGAAACTTCTTTAAGAACTATCCTTCCTTCTCACACCAAACAAATATTCCAGTATTTGTCTGATAGATTGAAAAGTCACTGAGGAAAACTGCTGGGTAAGTGCAATGACAGTACAATTGCCTCAGCTTTGGTCCTGTTGGAAGTTTTTCGAAAAATATGGTTGGTAATATAACAGCTCTTCTATCCCTCTGAAATGTACTTCTGATTTCGTAAAATCTTTAACACATTGACATAGATAGACAAGATACAATGTCAGGCTATTCAGCAAATGTTGGGAGGAGCAAGAGTAGTAACTCTAGTAAAGGTGAAAATCTTCCTAAGCATACTGGTGATTCAGGGCATGAATTAGATCTAAGATATGGGGTTGGAAATAAATCCACAGGGGTGTTTTTCTGAAGATAATTACTCTCCCAGGTGTTTTACTAACAATACACCATCAATTAGCTGATGTTGTATATATTATTCTGATAATCATGCTGGATTTGAAATCTTGAAAATTAGTTTGAAAACATATTACAAAGAATTATGAAAACCACATTGACAAGGAGACACCGTTATGCCATTGACTAACAAGGATGGGTAATTCAGGCTCTAATGATGGCCACAGACATATAAAAGAGAGACCACACTCACTTCATCAGCTCATCTTTGTTAAGATGTTTATTGGTGTATTACTTTGTTTTGGTTAGCAATAATTTAAACTGCAGGTGCTTTTAAATCATGGCATTCCATTGCTCTTGGGTAGCTAGCTAGCTGGCCAGCAGAAACTGCGATTTGTAGAACTGGCTTGTAATCCATTATTGTTTTCTAAAAAAGGAGAAAAAATAGTAAAGAAGTGATAGAAGATAATAGCTATGACATATATATTGGTTAAAATTTAAGTGAAATAGAACTCTCATGGCTCACCAAGAACATGATTTCACCATGTCTCAACTATGACTATAATGTAAAATAATTCTAATGAAGAATGAATCAAAACACATGCTTTGATTTTCAGAAGCCTTAAGTATTTGACTTCTACAGGAAGACCGAGTACTCGGCATGTCTGATAGATCAGGAGCCAAAGTTAGGTTAATTTTTTAAAAAGCGGTTTTACTAAACCATACTAGATGAAACATATCTGAATATGTATATTACATGAATAATCTTCATGGTATTTCCTGTAATGGCTGAATAGAAACATGTCAATGATGCAGTGCAGGAATAAAATTAAGGTGCCTAAAAGATTTTTTTAAAATAAGACCAACTTCACTGGATGAAGCAAAGGCTAACTTGGTATCCTGTTTTTAACAAGAGAGCAATAGAACCAACCTAGGGAATATGCAGGAGTAGAAATAATTCCCCAGAAAATTTACTTTCCCATCCTGCCAAAATTGATGCTTCATAGACTTTTTGAGAAAGCATGATTATATCTACATTTTTGAGAACCTTCCATTACTTTGTGTTGAGGTTTTTAAAATGTATATTTATTTTTGGCATGCCCACTGTGTGAAGGGCCAGTCTTAAGATTGTTTTGAATCTCCTACTTCTTATAATTGTCTTCCTCATGTTATTCTTGATTTTCCATCTCTGTATCATCTTCTCTCAATTTTCTCTCTT